AAACAGGTTTGAGAAATCTGGCTAGTTCCTGTGTCTATTTGTTCTGGTAATTGGTTTAACAAGCAACAGCTACTGTTGTGATTTAATTTTTTGTATTGTGTTTGAATTTTTTCCTGCCTCATGGTTTCTTTTTCTATCTGGGGAGGGGGTCTTCCTTCATTGCTTTAGTAGTATCTGGCACTGTCCTTTTGGGGTGTACTTCCAAGAGGCAGGATACAAGCTTGGCACTGATTTTTTACTGCCTTTCTGGGGGGCATGTGACCTTTCCTTAAATCTGGATGATTTCCTTAGGCTATCTTGTGAGATGAGTGAGACCAGCAGGTATCTTTATATGGTGCAAATGGATCTAAGGATTGCTTTTCCTGGGTGTGCTCTTTGTGGAGAGCTTGAATGATCTCTCTGCTAAAGGGTTTAACTTTATGAGCAAGAGTTGGCTGCTGATAGTTATCATTGCATTTTAACTATTTTAATTCTTCAAGGTACTCTGACACCCTGCCTGATTTGTAACTCTGGCTTGCAGGTATTTTTAATCTAATGTTTGGTATTTAGGGCAGCTTTTTGCAAGCAAAGAAGCTTTTTGTATTTTTGTACAGGTAATCCTTGACTTACAACAGTTCATTTAGTGAATACTTAAGATGAATCAATTCAACAAAAGTTAATTTTTCCATGGATACTTCAAAGATTGTCTTAAAAAATGTGGTAGTTCTCTAATGTGGGAAGTATAAAATTAAATTAAAGGGCATAATTACACATTTGATATAGATTTGTCCCAAAATTATTCTGTTTCAAGTTAATGTCCTTAAATTTGTTATATGGTTCTGGGAATAGTAGCAATATATAAAAACAATTATTACCAACCTGCCTTCCATTGAGGACCTGTATACTGCATGAGTGTTTTCTGTGGCTGTGAAAATATTTACAGACCCCTCACATGCCGGACATAAACTGTTTCAACTCCTATCCTCAAAATGACACTAATTGGCCAATAAAGAAATCTATCTATCTATCTATCTATCTATCTATCTATCTATCTATCTATCTATCTATCTATCTATCTATCTATCTATCTATCTATCTATCTATCTAATCTATCGGCATGGTTTAAAGATGTGATATAATTTTTAATTGTACCCTAAAAAAATTTAAATTATGGAGTTAATAAGAAAGAAAATGTCTCATTTAGTTTAATGCTGTGTTTAAAAACTAAGTCATTTTTAAAAATATGTATTTTTTGTTTTTGTTTTCTATTTTGCATCTTTTTCCTCTTTCTTTTGTATATGAATGGAATAAGGAAATGTTAAAAATACAGTTGTATAATCCGTAAAAATCCATGGTTTTATTTGCTGTTTAATATTATTGGACAATTTTATTTCCTGGTATTTTGAGAGATAAAATCCTATTTTGCATTTTATCCAATCTATTCATGACTATATTTCTACCATTTAAAAATAAATGTGGCTTAATAGACGAGTTGCTAGTACTCATATTTTTTCTTATCTTTTCAATATATAGCAATACTCTAGATATGGAAAATGTCCCACTTTCATAGGAGCTCTAACTAATGGAATGAAAGAAATATTCAGTTGGAACTACCTCTCTGGATAATGGCCAATTCATAAAGTGGCACAACTGGACTGACAAGAAAAATTATGAAGCCACAAAGTTATTTGTTGCATAGATGATGCCAGAAGAGAAGATATAATTTACAGCATGTTTCGTATAAGTATTTAGTTTGGATCAGCATTCTACTACAGTCATGGAAATTTTCAGCAAAATGAGATTTTAGGTTTATTTGTTAGTTTGCATTTTTAAATGATTAAATTTAAAAACAAAACACAAGTACTATATGCCAAGGCCATATCTTCTTTAATAAGATCCTTTTATTATTTTATGTATATAATATTATTTTATATTATTTTATGTGCTATTGTGTTGTACCTTTTTTACTGCAGTTTTAAACTTTTTCAAAAGAAATAGATTCTCCTAAACAAGAGGTCCTAGATTCTGCGAATTTTGCTCTGGGATAAATTTGCACAGTAGAAAGGAGTCACTTTAATCTAATTATTTGTAACTGAGCTTGCCTTCCCCTGATTTAGTATATTGGTCTGAACTTAATCTATGTTAAAAAATATTTTGAATGTTGTTGCTTATATATAAATATAGGAAATAGATGTTATCATTTTTTGATATTCCATACATTAAATTGTTTTCATTTTGTGCATTAGCAGATGGAGACAACAAAGGTTAATATTTAGAATATTATTTCCAGGAGACATTTACTGACATATCTCTAATGCAAAGCATATAGATATGAAACTATGGAAATGCTTATTTGAGAACTCTCTCAAAAGAATACTTGCCAACAACCTCCTTTGCCAACCTGGCCAGAGTTAAGTTTTATTTTCTTTCTGAATACTGGAAAATATAAATTGTTGGTCTGCATTAACATGTATTTGTTTGGAATAGAGTTCTATTGCATTTCCTATATGTAAACTAACATTTGCACATCTCCTCACAATGCAATAATTCCCATTGGAACTATGGTTGCTATTCACAGTGATATCTGTAATTCGATTGATCTGTGATGTTTCTGTAAAATCAAGCCAGATTTATGAAATTTTATATAATCCCAGACCATGTCTGGATTTAGTTTACAACATTCCAGGCAATTTATGAATCTATGTTGAAACTAGAGATATCCTTGTGCAGCCAAACTTGTTAATAGGTTTGCTGATTTTTCAGTGTAACTGAGTTGAATATGGACCAGCTGCAAATTCCAGATGAGTATATAATTTCCTAAATCTGAAAGAGCTTTTACAGTGCAATGTTATCTTGTGTTAACATTTCTATGCTATTACTACATAACTGTGTATCAAAGTAGTTGAAAATTAATATTTTAGTATATTCCCTAATTTGTTTTCTTGATTACCATACATTCATGAGGTCAAAAATGTCCATCCAGAACATGTTGCCCTTTATTCTGGGATTTATAATTATTACCTAGAAAACTAGTTTGGTGCAGTGGTTAATCTTCAAGCTAGAAACTGACAGGCCTGAGTTCTAATTCCACCTTAGGCACAGACCAGTCACTCTCTCTCAGCTGCAGAAAATAGGCACTGGCATACAACTTCTGAAAAACCTTGCTAAGAAAAAATTCAGGGACTTGCCAAGACAGTCTCTAAGAATGGGACACAACTGAATGGAAGAAAAAAAAAACCTAAACAAACAAGGAAACAAAAAATATATATACATTCTGTTTTTCAAGCACTTGAGCTGACTGGGAGGGAGTATGATTTGAGTCTGGAATTTTTTTTTTTTACTAGGGTTCTAACTAGGGGAAATTTAAAGGTATCCTTTGAAGGTTGAAGGTTTACTTGGCAATCAAATTGACATTCCCGCACCATACACCAGCAGTAATTATCTGAGAAAAGCTTTAAAATTAATCAGTGGAAGAACCATACTCCTACATGAATTAAATAAAGAAAACCTCTGATCTCTGTGAAGTTTTTACAGGTACTATTATTATTCTTGATGTTCTTCTAAGCTTCTGTTTTTATTACTTTTTCTGGAATAAAATGGATTTTTAGCTAAAATGTCAGAACATATCAACAGAGAAATACAAGCCTGAACTTTGTACGCATAGCACTTTCTCTACACAATATACATTGAAATTTGATGAAGCTCAAAACATTGTTTTCAAAATGGCATCTTTCTGGATTTAAAAGTTATATTTCTTCTTGAATTATAACTAAAGCTCCTAAAGCTAAGAGTAGACATGTTACAGATGAAAGTGGCCTGGTGTCTTTTGGGTTGTTGGATTGAAATTCCCATAATGCCTGTGGCTTGCATACAACATATAAAATAGCATACAATTTAGGAAAGCTGGTTGAAAGATTTCTTAAATCATTTGATGTAATCTTTTTTATGGTACTTAGATGTTCTTCTTGTTGGAAACTGCATACCTCTCATTTTCATTGGTTCCTGTATTATTCTTTTCTACTTCCTAAGAACTATGGTGCTCTTTCTGGGTTGCTTTAGAAGCAATCAGTTCAGTTCTGTGTTAAAAAAGTAGGCAGAATACTTTTTTCCTACTAACAATTGCTTTGAAGCTGTCCAGGAAATCTTCCGTAGGCTCGCTTAATCCTGGTATCCTGTTGGTGAACTAGTTTAAATCTCCCACTTATAGTGAAGTATATATGTGATGGTTTTCTTCCCATGTGTTCAGGACATTATTATTCAGTGTGAATATGCAATATAGTGGAACTATATTCTTAAATAATCACACCAAGTGAATGGATCAATATACTTTTCAGTTGTATAAGAGCAAAGTATTACAAAGTACTTCGTGTTTCTGTAAAATGGAAATTGGAATATACATCTAGGAACTCAGTGAATAATAGTTCTTTGCTGGATAGAAAAGGCACTTTTAGTGTTCAGTTACCAACTCAGAAACTTTTACTTATCTGTTGGTCTTCAGTCCACATACAACATTATAGAGGAAGAAGTTTATCAGTTCATTAACTGCAAAGTTTATTTGCAGTTCTTCCTTGTAATTCTGCTTCACACAAAAATTCCCAGATACATGGAAAAACAGGATTGTTGTGAAACAAATGATCACATGTTTCAACATTTATTTTTATACATAACACAGTATAATACCAGCATATTTTATTTTATTGTGCTTCATAAATATTGAATTTTAGACCTTCTGCCAGCAAAAAATTATGATGCTGAAAGCTCATATGGTGTTTTTCCTATGATTTTGAAACAGATACCAATCAGAGATGAGGAATGATAAATGCAAATATTAACATCAAATGGCAAAATCTTACTTGAAATCATCACATGTCTAGTTACTTCAATAACATCTGTGCTTAACATTAGCCTGTGTTTAACATTAGACATCAAAATGTCATCAATAAAAGAGCAGAACAAATGTACTCATGGGCAAAAAAGAAAAAAGACACAAAAAAACATATGGATTTCTCTTTGCCAGTTACATGAACTCTGCGCATTTCCTCTTTGCCTAGAAATAGATTTTTTTGGACTGGAACCATCAGCACATTTCCATGTTTTCTTGATAAAGCAAAGCAGATGTACAAGTCAATTTTCAATAAAACACAATCTCATTTACAAAGCTCTTCATGCAAAAATCCTCATATTTCTCCATTGGGTTAGAAAGACTAGCTTGCAATCACTCTGCAAAAGCAAACTATTAAAAAGAAAAAGTGCATCACAGGTTTGTTGAGCTGAGCCAATATACATTGGAAAGTCTTACAAGAAAGTTTAATATTCCATGGCATAATGTGAAATTTCTAAATATAACTCTAAAATTGCATCCTAGCATATAAGATGTTTAGACTAGCTGTGAGTCTATTAAATGATTGCTGACACTAATGACAGATACACTGTTTACTAAAATAGTGATAGATTAGCACTTAAATCTATTCCATATGTACACCTAAATAATCTTAAATCATCCACAAACATCTACTTTTACATATAGAATTATTAGAGATTAGAAGAGTAGTATTTTGACAATAGAGTTGTTATATGTGTGAACTATCATTAATACAAGATGATTTCTGATGTGTTAGATGTGGGTGGGTATTTATTTATTTGATTTGCCAATTGTTTACAAGATAATAAGTATAAGTGTATACATAGTTGTGAATACATGAAATGGGTACATATAAGAAAAATAAAAGAAGAATAAGAGAAACAATAGGACAGGGACGGTAGGCACATTGGTGCGCTTATGCACGCCCCCTACAGACCTCTTAGGAAAGGGGTGAGGTCAATAGTAGACAGTCTAAGGTTAAAGTTTTTGGGGTTTGGGGAAGAAACTACAGAGTCGGGTAGAGTATTCCAGACATTGACCACTCTATTGCTGAAGTCGTATTTCCTGCAATCAAGTTTGGTGCGGTTAACTTTGAGTTTGTATCTATTGTGTGCTCTTGTGTTGTTATGGTTGAAGCTGAAGTATTCATTGACAGGTAGGACATTGCAATGTATGATTTTATATACCATGCTTAAATCAGACTGAAGACGGCGTAATTCAAGGTTTTCTAGTTCTAGAATTTCAAGTCTGGTGGCATAAGGTATTCTACAACGAGTAGAGGAGTGGAGAACTCTTCTTGTGAAATATTTCTGGACTTTCTCAATTGTGCTAATATCAGATACGTAATGTGGGTTCCAGACTGATGAACTGTATTCAAGTATTGGTCTAGCAAATGTTTTGTATGCTCTGGTTAGTAGTGTGATATTACCAGAGAAAAAACTACGTAGGATTAGGTTAACAACTCTTAATGCCTTTTTGGCTATGTAGTTGCAGTGGGCTCTAGCACTTAGATCATTAGAGGTGAGTATTCCAAGGTCCTTTACAGAGCTTGGGTCATCAACAAGATCTTGACTATTCAGCTTGTATTTTATTTTCTGATTTTTTTTGCCAATATGTAAGACAGAGCATTTATTTGTTGAGATTTGAAGTTGCCATTTGTTTGACCATTCTGATACATAGTCAAGATCTTTTTGTAGGGTAGCAGTATTGTCTGTGGTATTGAACAGCTTTACATCATCAGCGAAAAGAATGCAATTGCTCTTAATATGATCACAGAGATCATTTATGTAGAGTATGAAGAGAGTTGGTCCTAGAACACTGCCTTGGGGGACACCACTATTGACAGGTACAGAATTTGATAGGACGCTCCCAATTTTGACCACTTGTTGTCTGTTTGCCAGGAATGCTTCTATCCAGTTATTCAGTTGTCCAGAGATACCATAGGATTTTATTTTTAGGAGTAGTTTGTCATGTACCACTGAATCAAAGGCTTTACAGAAGTCTATGTAGATTGCGTCTATTGCTTTGCCCTGGTCGAGTTGTGTTGTCCATATGTTTTTGCAGTGTAAGAGTTGCAGATTACAGGATAGTTTTTTTCTGAAACCAAATTGTTTATTGGAGAGTAGGTTGTTTGTCTCTAAGTGGAGGATGATGGATTGGTTAATAATTGATTCCATGACTTTACAGGTGACGCAGCATAAGGAGATTGGTCTGTAATTTTCAACTAGGCTTGGGTCTCCCTTTTTGAAGATGGGCATGACTGTGGCTTGTGACCATAGGTTAGGCAAGGAGCTGGTCCTGAAAGATTTTTCAAAGATTATGCCTAGAGGTTTGGCTATAGCAGTGGATAGCTTTTTTAAGAAGTAGGCACATATTCCATCCGGTCCAATAGATAGAGATGGTTTTAGATTGCGTAGTGCTTTTACAACATTGTCTTCTGTAAAATTGATATGTATTAGATCATTGTTGTTATCTGTGGTACGGCTAGGAAATACTGGGCATGATCCATTGCTGTTTACAAATACTGAGCCGAAGAATGTATTAAAGATGTTGGCTTTAATGGTGTCGTCATTGCAGTCTTTACCATCAGGTCCTATCAAGGGTGGGATGGACCTTGAGTCTTTTAGTTTGTTGTTTACAAAATTGTAAAAAGCACGGGTGGAATTGGTGTTTAGAAGGTTTTCCTCTTGTTTAATGTGATAATTGGTGCATTCGGTCTTTATCTGGTGGCATAAATTTTTGTATCGGCTTTTGAAATTGGCAACGTGACCAGATTTGTTTTTCCGCCAGAGTGATCTCTTTTTGGATTGAAGTTTCCTTATTGTTATGGGTAATCTGCTTTTTTGTTTTGTTTTGGGAGTTGTTGTTGGTACATATAGTTTGATGACTCTTTTGACTTCAAGTAAAAATATGTTGTAATGGTCTTCAACAGTATTGCATCCAGTGAATAGAGATTGCCAATCAAGGGATGAGAGATCGTTGTCTATAAGATCATAGTTGCCTTTTTTGAAGTTACAATTGGGGATTACATCATTATGGTGATTTTTGTGTGGGCGTATGTTGAGACAAAAGTCAATCATATTGTGGTCACTGCTGGAAAAGGGTTTTTTAGTTTGTATTCCGTAAATTAAATTCAAACTATTGCAGAAGATGAGATCGAGGCAGTTGTTTAGTCTAGTGTTGTTGGTTACTAGTTGTTCCAGTCCCAGATTTGTAATAGCATTGTAGAAGGTTGTGTGTATGATTTCAGTTGTACAATCATTTAGGGTCCAGTCAATATGAGGTAGATTGAAATCACCAAGAAAGATAAAAGGGTATGGGCAGGATGCAGCCCATGTTAGTAATGTATTTAGCTTGTTTACATGTTCGATGTCATAATCAGGTGCTCTGTAACATAGTAAGAATCGAGTTGTGATATTTAAGGATAGTTCACAGATGATGGTCTCAGGAAGAGCAAGCTCCTGGGTAACTTGGATATTTTTTAGATGTAAGGATTTTTTATAGAAGATAGCAACACCACCTCCTCTACGAATTTCACGATCTGATCGGTAAACATGATAGTCTCTTAATGTGTGTGCAAATGAATAAATAGGGTTCATGTCTTTATTGATGTATTTTGTTGGATTACTATGTTGGATTGCTGTTTTGGAGAGAAGTGGAGTAGAAATCAATGACATGCTGACTTTATTTTAATTTTATTTATTTATTTGTGTCAATTTCTTACAAGATAATAGGTGTAAGTAAAAACATAGTTATGAATACATGGATACATATAAGAAAAAGAAAAAAAGAAAAGAAACAATAGGACAGGGACGGTAGGCACGTTGGTGCACTTATGCACTCCCCCTACAGACCTCTTAGGAAAGGGGTGAGGTCAATAGTAGACAGTCTAAGGTTAAAGTTTTTGGGGTTTGGGGAAGAAACCACAGAGTCAGGTAGAGTATTCCAGACATTGACCACTCTTTTGCTGAAGTCGTATTTCTTAGAAATTAGCTTTTGATGTCCCTAATTTCTGTTGTTTCATATGTAAAAAGAGTCAAAAGCCCAGACACTTCATAATGTTGTAGAAACATTCTTTTAAAAATCAGATGTGCTTCCTCAATGATGTCTCTTCTGGCTGCAGAAGAGAGACAAAGGAAAGAAAGACAAAGAATCTCACTGAAGCCCATTGGGTTGAAGAAGCCAACATTTTTGGTTTGTAAAAGCTTCCCACTTTAAAACTGAAGGGTCAAAAAGCCTCAAAACTTGGTTTACAAAATGACAGAGGCAACTTATACTCACTAACTGATCATTTGGCTTAGTGTGCAATGAAAATACCATCTATATTTCTTTAATAAATCCTATACCAGACAAATGTACATATCAAGTAATAGGATGCTTTACATTTTAAAAAGGCATTATTTTATATTTATACACACAGTATGTATAATTATAGGACACTATTTCAAACTTCTCTGTTGTAGAAGATGCTGTGAATGAAAGCCTCCTTCCTTCCTTCCTTCCTTCCTTCCTTCCTTCCTTCCTTCCTTCC